CGTTTGATATTATATAATATTTTTGTTATAAACAGGTTGGTACTTTTAATTAGGGTGGTTCGAAAGGAATAAGCTACTTTAAATTATAGGTTCGATTTGTAATCGCGACAAGTTTACAGCATATTTATTAATAGCAGGCTTATTTTAATGTCGTCAAAAAAGGGTGCTACAGTCATACCAATTGGCACGCATCTAGCTATGAATCACCTAGCTATAAAAAAAAAATGCATTTAATCTTCGGCCACTGTTACAAGTGAGAATGAACAGATGGATATTTATAAACAATGGTCACACGAAATTTTTAAGAAAAGCTGTTCGTTGCCGGAGTTCAACTTTTTCTTATCATCGTAAGAATGGCCTTCAAGTAACGTCAAAATAAAGTCGTAAGAAGACTATCGTAATGAGGACGTAACTAAATTTAAGCCTAATACGAAAAATGAAGAATTACCGGAAGATAAAAAACCCATGGGAGGAATCTGAAAGATACGGTCTGACCAACTGGGCAGTCCTTAGTAGTTAAGGAGCTAAACAATTCTCTAAGCATCGCTTGAACTATAAAGACGAACTCAAGAGCCACTTATTTGCAAGCTCAAGTTTAATTCTATCTTTATTACTAGCGGGAAATAGAAAAAGCAAACCGCAAACCGTCGAGGACTTCTACAACGTACGTTATTAATCCTTTTGTCGTGTACGGCGACTGGATTTGTTGTAAAGCGAAAATACACACTTAATTCTACCGATGGTTGTTGTACTGACAGACTGAACTCGGGTTTATACAGAAAACATAGTTATATGAAGTTAACTAGTAACCACACATTTTCCTATGAACGTCGTTCTGACTTTTCTAAAAGGGATTGTCCTCGCTGCCACGCTCCATGCGCATACAACAAATAATTGCAATTTCTCGCAGTTCCTATTCTTCTAAACAAAAAAATCGGGTGATGAAGCATTTTTAGGTTCTAGTACCAAGTTTAAGGAGAAGCCATCCCGTGTTTAGGCTTATTTAAACGAATTGATCATGATCTATCGACTAAGTCAACATAGTAATAAAACATCTTGCTTCATTATTTTTACTAGTATAACATTAGGTGCTGATTACTATTATTGATAGTTGTCAATCTGAATCGTCATTTGTGCCTTCAATCAGCAGTAATTAGTAAATAGTTCAGACTCAGACTCCGAAAAAACCTGAGAGATAAGCAACAGAAATAATTCATACATCTGTTCGAGTGTATTGTAGCTCTTAAAGAATGATTCAAAGTCATTACTATTTCCTGGATCCGAGATGGTTCTTCTAAGCACCATACTTTGAATCCGGTTAAGCTCCGGATTCCGAATGGGGTATTCCTTGTAGGCGTCGCGCAAACATTATCGACTCGTCACATCACCTGCAGATCCTTACAAACGGCGTGACGGTCACATTACTCATTTTTCAGAGCGGCCTACTAACCTTTCAACAGAAGACGAACCATTTAGCATGAGGAAAGGCGACCTATTGACAGACCATTCTTGGTAACGGCCATGTTAAATGCTACACTTTTACATCGAGTTTTTCCAGTTTTGAGTCCAACAGGCGCCCGGTTAGCTCTCTTTTGTATAACGACATCTCAAAGAGTGTTATATCTTAGAAGTCGGGAAAGTTAAGATCCAAAAAAACGTGCCTTAGAATGTTTATGACTAACTTTTCGGTCGTCTTGCTTAACTCAATGCTGGCATGTACGAGTGCCCATGCTGTACATACCGCTTTTCCAGAAATACTTCCAAATGAAGTAGAAGAATAATCTGCCTGACGTACGTTGTGCGAAAAAGATTTGAATGTGTTTTTGAGTTACACAGTTTTATGGTGTATTTTCGTCATTGTGCTGTTTGTAAACAGTTTGTACTTGTCAAGACATAAAGCAGTAAACGTTTATTATTAAAAAAAAACTCAAATTAGGTTCTCGATTTCTATTTATTGGGTCATTTGGCGGTCATAAAAACATGGCATTGTCTTTAATTCCTTATTTTTATAGGGATGTTTCATGACTAACAGCAATGATTTACTCGGCCGAATGATATGACAAAGATAAATCGTCGCACAGTACGAATTTCGCAGTCGTGTTAAATGGAATTGTCAGCTTTCGCTTTTTGAGCTACGACGTTGTATAAACTTCTTTCGATCAGCTAGAAACTAATATTCGACGGGCTCCTGACACGGGCAGTACTGCAATGCGGGTCATTTTTAAGCTAGCAGACTCATGAATGGTAGACATGCCCATCGTGCGTGATATAGGTCTGCGTGTGTCTGTGTATATCCATATATATATATAAATGTATATGCCATCGTCGATTTGAACGTACAACGTGAGCCAAGGATAGAGGAAATAGGACCACTCTGCACTTTTCCGCCTGCCTCTCCAGCTCCGATCTAATGAGCGCCTATTGTTCGAAACACACATACACAGTCATTCACAAACAGATTTACACCGAACGGTATAACTCTCTTGAGCTGAGGGGTTTAGGGGTGTCGGCCCTAGCCTTTCGACGACACGAAACGAGCCGAGCGGATTTTGGGGTAAGCAGGCAAACGACATTATCATTACCATAATGTGTCTTTCTGGTCCCCTTTGGCCTTTTCCGTGTGGTTTTAGCCTATGGTAAATCAGGCTAAATACAGTGGCACTGATCTACACCTGTCTTTCCCTGATTTGCTATACAAAGTTTAGTCTAATAAAAAGCAGGCATTTTTTTTTTAAAGCATCGTTGAGTGTAAAACTGAGTAAACTGAAAAAAAAGAATAGTAAAAAAAAATTAGAAAAAAAGCGATAAGTATTGGCTTATTGTGCTATTACATCGTATGTTTGTGATTGGCAGACTATGTCTGTCTAGAAGTAGAAGCAGATAGTTTTTTACTAGCAAAGTATGGATATGACGTTATGAGGGACAAGAAATGGATGAGGTGCCGAATGCACTTGGTAAAAATTGGAGCTCGCACTTACTTGAACATTTTCTGAATTAAGATAAACGTCGTAATAAACTACAAATAATCGAACATAAACTAGAGCGACTTTTATTTTTATTTTTTTAGACAATTACATTTGTTGGGCTTAAGTACGCTTTAACGGCTTCATTTATTTTGAAAGCTCTGGTCAAGATTGATTGTAGACCAAGCATATTGACCCTTTGTATTTGCACGATCTCATGTACTTTTACATACGATACTACGGTTGCAGTGTTATCCATTTTACCATAATTTCTACTCTAACTTATTTTTTTTATTTCCCAAGCTTCTCTATCTTCGTGTCTTTTTCATAAACAGTCTAAGCAAATATAAAGAAATGAGGGCATAACAGCTTCTATCTCACAAATCCATGTTAGTGCGATTGTTGAAGCACCCGATCACTAATTAACAGTCCGCTGATTCGCAGTCTGGGAAAAGAATAAGAGACAGGCTAGCAGCTAACGGAGCGGGTAACTGAGGGGAGCCTATCATGTACCCTGTGCTTCTCGGAAAAGCAGCGCCACGAATCAACTTAATCAACCCACTTAGGCCATTAACAGCACATCACCAGAATTGTTCTCGAGAGCGCTGCTTGCAGTGTCGAATCAACTAACTAGTATAGGCGTTGCCAGTTCTAAGTTCCGTGAGAAGGTTAGTTAAGATCTTTAACATTGCTCACTCTATTTCCGATCTGTTTCTCTCTCTTTTCCCTTTAACTTACTTGGAATTGTTTCCCGCCAGAGGACAGACCTCAGCGCTATACTAAATCTATGATAATATGATTAACACCAGTGTCGCAGATCCATTTCTATACATCTGCTATTGTTTCTTTTTGCTGTGATCACTCGTTGGCTGAATAGAGACTGTTCGAGTTTCAATTCCGTTGTTAATGAAGACTCTCTCAAATTCTCATACCTGTGCAACGTGTCTTCGTTGTGATAGCTAGTTAGCGCAAGCAGTGGACTGCTATGTTCTACGATGTCTGGTGGGCCGACGAAGACAGTTCTCAGAATAGTTGAGACGCCGAAAGCCTTCTATCAGGACTTTCACACTTCGGCAGTACTTGCCGAAATTGAAGAGCGAAGCTTGTTGAGGAGCATTATCGTTCGTGCCGCTACCATTATCAACATGTATTGCATACAGCCGCGTATTAGAAACCTGATTAAAATCAGCCGAAGTGGACTTTGGATGTATTTAATAGCTTATTTTTGACATTTCGAGTTATAGTACGTACAACATTTTTGCTTCAAATTAGCTAAATTATGTTATATTATTATTACTCCGTTAGTTTATGACCATAAAAATGCCAAGGGACATTACTTTCATACAGCCGAATCGCTTCGCGGAAGAAAGAACTTTAGTGGATGCAGTGGGACATTAAACTGTGGTGTCCCTCTTGTTGGGTGATCATAAATCGACATAAATTATAAACATATGCACTACATTTATTCACGACAAACGAATTGCGAGGAGTCCGCGGTGGCACCACTGGCAATGAGCAGGTTCAGCCCTAGCCGAACAATTAAAACTCTTTTCTATTGTGTATAGGAACCACAGATGAATCAACTTGTAAAATAGATAGCATAAAATATTCCACAAGATATTATATACATCTATATATCAGAAGCGTATCCGAAACAGCCCGTTCAAGAGGATCGATCGAAAAACTATTTGTTTAACTCTCCATAGGACAATACTTACATTATATTAATTAAGTATATTTATTTATTATAAGACACGGATCCAGAAATCCGATTACTCTGTAGTCTACCCCAACGAGAAGCTATGTCAATTTATGTGAACATTTTTGATGACCGACTAAGCTCAGTCGGCTACAGATCCGTTCACGCGACAACTACGCGTTATACACAAACGCAATTAAGACTTCTTAGGTATAAATAGTAGTATAAAACTCCTTATAAATAAACTTAGATTAATCAACAAAAATAACGCAGTAAGTATTTTTCATCACCAAAGGAGGAATTATGTTGCATCTACAACGCTGACGTTTACCTTACATTCATTGACTTATATGATAACAAACGGAAAGAGATAACGAAGAACCCGAAAATGGCAACTTTCTTAGTTATTAACTTGAACAAAAAAACGGCAAGAGGCCCGTACGTTGACTGACTTCTTTTCACACAGCTGAAGTGATGTTCTGTGAAGTGATGCAAATGTGTGACAATAACTGAGTGTGAGTGAGCTTCATTGATCATATATTCCGCTTGGAATTAAGTTAATTGTGATTATTATATAATTAAAATAATTGGAATTAAGAAATAAGTGATCGATCCTGTGTTGATCTACAAACATAGGTATTACTAAGAACTTCAGATAAACACTAATCAAATAAGCCTAAAATAGCTATGTATAGCACGGCTGTTGTGTAGTTTACGGTAGCCTACAGAATTAAAGAATTTGAGGTCTTTATCATTTTTAGGACATCCTTGGCAAAGGACCAATCACCTAGTTGTGGCCAAGAGATTAGGACAGATTAATTTAGATACTTGACTAAATAGTTTAGGTCGGAAAAATATTTGCTTCTTGTCTATGCGGTATTTAGCCCAGCAAACCAAAGTCCGGTCAAATCTTATCAACCAGAGGTCCTGTGACGACAGTCACGAATGTTTTGTTATCTCACCGGCCTTTTTTCTCTCTTCGCACGGTACGTGGCAGTTCGATTTGTTAAACTGGTACATAGTCGTGAGAATGTATTCACAGCATTTATGTAATGTAGTCATAATAGTCTCACGCGCAGATCCCAATCTCGACGTTGCATCAGCGTCGTGGCAACGCTCATTTTAGGCTCCATCATTATTTGCTTTTTCCTGTTGTTTTGTAACCTTTTTCCATCTTGGCCTTCGGCTGCATATCGTCTACGAGGCCGTTTTCAAATGTTCGCTCGTCTCTTTCTATCGATTGTCTAACTGTCTGTGTCCCGCCCACTCGTGTTAACCCAAGCTACAGTTATTTGCTCAGCTCTGCCTACATGCCCAACAATCCAAATATGGGTTAATTGCAATAAATCAGACTCAGATTAAAGGCCCAGTGTACCGCTTATATATATACCGTTCTCATCTAGTATTCACTGCAGGCACGTACTACTATAATATGTACACATTATGTACATGTATGTCTAATTAGTCTGATTGTTGCTTCTCTACCTATACCAGCTCCCGTCACTGCAGCTGAAACGGCAGCATTCAAGCTGCACAGTGCACAACAACCCCAGGTAGTATCGTTTCCGCGAGGAACACTACGAAAGAAAGAACGTCGTTGATATAGCTACGAAACATAAGAGTCGTTAGCAGGCGAGAAACACGAGGCGTGAAAGGAGAATGAACGTGTCGAGTTCTGCTAACTGGATATTTGTATTTTTAATAATGGTAGAAGTAGTACAACGAGTAAGCAACGACAGTTGTAGCGGTGTGAGATACTTCTCCCATAAGTTAAATCCAGTTCTGCTGACGTGACCGTGTTAGACGTCCCGCGATTTTTTTTAACATCATATTATTATTTCCGTCCTTCAAGATTCACTCGTCCTGCAGAAGCCACGCGCTTAAGCTTTTGATACAAAGATGTAGCGACGCATAAAATGTGTGCTTATACCGATCGCTGAGCAATATACCGCATCACCTTCAACCATGTACGAATAAGCTTAGTAACAAAATATGCAGAAGGAAGAGAAGGTACTTGCACCTGTTAACAAGCATTCAACTTTTCAATAGAAGACTTGTCGTGAATAGTACCCCTGAATACATGGTACCCCAATATTCCGACTAGACTACGGCCCTATAGCCTCATAATATTATAGCGGCACATCAGTACCGGGGGTAGAAGCTCTATACATACTGATGCTAAAGCAGTAGTCAAAGTGCAGAATGGAGGAGATCAGGAGCGGGAAGGTGAAGGGCAAATAGCGTTAAGATCATAATCAGAACCGAACGCTATCTTCACTTACTGATTTAGCGCCATCATTACCATCTCGTCTGAACCACCAGAAACCAGTCATTGTCTTCTTATGGAACAGTCAACGCGCTCATCGCTCAACGGGATATCGTGGTGACGTGACTCGGTACCCTTACGCCAAGGGGACACCTATTTCCCTTGCTCCCACAAAAAATAGGACGCTTGAAGGCCCCCCTAGAGCATTATGTGCAGCTCTACTTGATCGCTGTGTTCTATCGATGAAATTAAAACCTTTTAAACGACCTACAAAGCTGTCGATATCGACACAGCGGTCAAGATACTAAGATCGTAGATATAAACAAACTCAAGGCTTCGCGACGTGGCGGTCGGCGCCCCCACCGGGAACAGGAGCGACAAAAACGAAAGATGTGGCGACGGTTTTGGTGGTTAAGGCACCGATTGGCTGACAGCGCAAAGCAAGCAATTGAAAATTCCTCGCATTTTTCGTTACTACACTAAGTAGTGGGCAAATGTATTGCATAAGAAGAAGAAGATGGATTGGACTAGCCGTGTGGCGACAGCAGCGAAATGTGATGATGCCGTCGTCGCCGCCGCCGTCGTCGTTCGTATTAATACTGTTATTACTACGATCGACGGTACGATATCGGAGCCTCTGTCAGACGGGGATCAGCCGAAGACGGAGGTGCGACCTGTCCGTCAGGCAGTATTTCGGTAAGACAGTAGCGGGACTTCTTACAGAGACCTGCGTGCTGCCGATAATAGACATATTCTAATCAGATCAAAAATAACGAAGTGAACCTTTATGAATTGTGTTCGTTTTGAATTGCCATCCTCATAGAGCCAAGTCTATGACATTATTGTGAGTTGAGCTTAAAACTCGATATTTAAATCAATAGAGCAAAATGTAGCTCGCATATCTTTGTGGTGGTGGGAAATCGTAGCGGTGTTTTTTGAAGTTTTTCATAAAATAGAAAAAAAAATCATAAATATTATTCGTGACGCATGGTACGTCATGTACGATAAAGGAATAATCTTGTTGCCACATTGACAACATGATGCAATTGAAATATTCCTACCCACGGATGGGGCAAGATTTAAGCCCAGCTCCCTTTATAACCTGTAACGTCAAATATAATAATCGTTTATTTAAAGGGTTTGCACGTTGGTGACAAATTTTCGTGTTACCTAACTAAGCTGACACATTATATTTCGAACTCGTATATACATGCATATGCCAAAAGCATGTTTTATAGTTTAATGGAGCGTATATGTTAAATTAACGGCTACGGCCCGTAATTAAGATTGGTTTTTAGCGTGTCATTTCGTATATCTAATTGAGTCAAACAAACGACAGGATTCGCAGAAGCCGATAAACTTAGTCCCTTACGTTAAATGCTTCTCATTAACGGTTCTCTTTCATGCACGAGGTAACAGCATCCTTTTGTGGATACGATCTTTTACGAGGACGACCTGGTCACGTACAGCATAGGCGAACTGTTCCTGCGACAGACACTAAGAACCCTGAACAGCCTAATGTTCTGATTAGCAAGGCCAAAATAGAGACCTTGAAGTATAGAAGAGGAAGAAGACTTGTTAGCAATGATTCGTTTCGTCTAAATAGAACGACCCTAATCATTGTTAATTTGTTTATGTACCTCGACCTGACGCCTACAGCAACAAGGAAACCTTTTGCTGACCACACAGGGAAAAGGTAACGAAAAATAACGGTCGCGGCTGTTACAATCAAAAACGCACAGCGTAGCGCAAAAGGGCAGTCAAGTGATTTAGGTTCAACGTTACATCGATTGCCGTCTACGAGATCCCGGTCCTCTGGCAACACTCAGCATTCGAAATCTACAAGTTACAACTAGAGTAAAACCAGTTTCTCTGAATCTGGTACTAGACACGAACTTGCAACCACCCAGCATTCCTATTGACCGACGTTCACCGCGGGAAAACGTTTCGTCAGAAAACGAAAGCATATAGGACATTCACTTAAACACAAGGGTTAAAATTAGCCGAAATAGATTTTGCATTTTTGTCAAATTTAATTATAATGGGCGGCAGATTAAAACACGCCGGCAGAACTAATTACCATGTCATGATATCATGGTTCGCAGCGCGCGGAAATCAAAAAATACGAACGTCATGAAAATTGTTTTTGCAAATTTTACGAAATTATCTATTCTGCATATCATTTGGACCGGTGTAGCCTAATAAAATTAATTATCTTACGAATATCTAGCCAGTTAATCGTGTTCGTAAATATCTGCAATCGTATCTTATGGTGTACTTTTAGTACATATTGTAAATTCGCATAAACCGCGTGAATAAAATAATATCTAACTAACGTGTTTTAGTACTCTAATTTTAGAGATTTGACAGATCCTTGTTGCGTCCGGTTAGTCGCAGAAGTAATTAAGTATTATATCTTACGGTAATCTACCACAATTATCTTGCGAGACACAGAAATGAATGAGTCATAGATAAAAAATAAAGGCTCAGGACTGCGAGTTAGGTTGTTCAGTACTAGTACGTTCAGTACTGTTATTGGATATTTAATAAAAGGCAGACAAAACAAGAAAAAAACGTCATTCAAAATGCCGTATTATGTTATATAAATGCTATTTAATTTTCCCCATTCTAAGTGAGTTGTTTTTGATCATGTCTCGGCAGATAGTTATCACCTCGTGTCCATTGGCATCACCGTTGGAAGTAACAAAGATCACTGCTTCTGCTTACGTGTCGCGTTTTGCATTACTCAAATACAGGCAATTTCAATAATAAACAAGATGACATGGCACATAGAAATGATATGATGAAAATATATTAAAAAATTTTCAGTGACTTGACTAGTCTCAGCGTATCACTTACGATAACGCGACCGCTGTTGAACCGTTCATATATATATATATATATATATATATATATATATATATATATAGCTTTTGGCTCTGTCTGTAAGCTACTTTGTTTGTAAGCAATTATAATATATAATTTACGAGCAATATTTTAATTTAGAAAATGCAAGAAGGACTTGACTGGAAAATGAGCGAATGTTTTTTTTTTATTGAAACACATAAATTGAAAATCGTTGATGTTGTCAATTTCAATTCAATCCCGGATAAGTTCCAATACCTATTCTAATTTTTGCTAGGTTTTCGGGACAGTCTAAGTTGGAGGAAACGTTAATTCAAACAAACAATTTAAGTTTGCTGGTGTTCAGCTGAACTTATTCTAAGTAGAACATTTTCTAAAGGTAACATTAATTTCAAATTAGAGCAACACCAATTTTTGCAATATACTTGGTAGCTTGGTACTGCGACGTTTTCACCCACCTTCCTCCTTCGACCTCGTATGCCTAGGCATTGACTCGAAGACGATTCAAATATTGCCTCAAACCGAGGTTTGCAAGTGGATCTAATTGAAATCATATGTACTTGTATACATGCATAAGTAGAATGAAAGGGGTGTTGCTATTAGACGTAATCTCAAAGAAACGTTTTCGGGTATATGTAACACATGTGAAGTATCGTGATCAGAGGATACAGCAAACTCACCACGATCAATGTTCAGGCATCTGAGACAAGACAGCCGTAGCAGCTACATACGGAAGAAAGATGACCTAGAGCTTCCGCACTCGAGAGACAATACGTTAATGTCAAACTTACGACGAGACTTCAGTCGTATCATTTGTGGAGAGGTCGGAGATAAAACTTATTTAAACGATTCCTTCACACATCGGGATCTGATATCATGTTATCTTCTAAACCTTTAAACTTTACTTCATACGACCTCAGTCAACTGGAAGCATAGTATTTTTGTAATTTCGTATGTGTCAGAACCTCAGTCAGGTTGTCGTCACAGCAGCATGCACAAAATCTTATGGGTTCTTAGACTTAACAGAAGTCGGGGGTATCTTTCTGGCGATTCGGTATAGCAAAACTGACGTTTCAATATCAAATTGCAACATCTTTTCGCTATAGTAACGGTAGTAGGAATCTTCCTATTTACATCTCGAATTTCGACAACTTTATGTACTTTACAGCTCATCACACAGCGATTCCTGCTGCAGATTTCACTATATACAGTTCTGCTCAAGTATGTTTCGATAGCGTAACTCTTCACTACATTATCTTCTCGAACTCCCGATGAGATTTTGCCTGGGATCTGGCGTCTTAATAAAAGGAAAAAACCGAGTGGCCAAGTGTACCTAAGGTTCAGACGTAGACCAGAGGACGGTAGACAGAAATGTGTAACTAACGGCAACGCGTCCCTGGCGCCGCATACACTTGAGCATTCCGAGAATGCTGGAATGGCCTACTACAGTTTAAGAATCGACGTTCAGCCATCGCAGATGGCAATCGTTAGCCGACGAAGACGATAACAGCCATATCGAAGATCGTAGATCGACGTTACGTAATGGTACCGCAACAACAGAAGCGGTACTAAAAAACCTATCGACCGCCAAGTTGACCTCAGGGCAAGGCAGTAGAGATGATCATGGTGCTTTTCATATAGCACGCAAGAGGGTCGTAAGCTAAACAGAGGCCATACAGCGTTACATCGGGTGCAATCAACGCTACGTAGATTCAACAGGGTCCAGTAGATCTGTTATATCAATCAAGTTTTGTAAAATTGAATTGAATTGTATTCAGCTGTACTGCTAAGTGTAGTGCTAGCAAGGTATCATATCGTTTCGATTCGATGACGAGCGATAAGACGCGTTGTGCCTACGTTAAATTGAGTGGTCGGCAAACAGTGTTCCTGATATTGGCCTGTTCCACATCATATATATGTGTATATAATGGGAGAAAAAATAGGCACTGCAATGTGCGGTTCCTGCCACAGTGAGGTTCGCAGCGTCCTGTGTGAAGTAACCTTGAAACATCCGTTAGGTTACACGCCTTCAATTACGGTTGTGAAATGCAGACAGTGCAAAACAGGTACATTGAACATCAAAATTTGGGCGCAAAAGCTTTCAAGTTATGGAGGTATCTTTTTTTTTTTTTTTTTTTTTTTTTTTTTCGTTTATCTCTTGAATAAGTGCGTTGTCTACTCTTTGATAAGCGGTCCATGGATAATGGTAATGGATCCACAAATGGTGGCGTTACTTTTCTTTGTTCCGTGCATTGCAGTTAATGTATTTTTTTCCGTGGTGTTATCATCTTCTGGGCGCGTCCGGATTTCGTTTTACACGTGTTTGTCGGCAAATAGCGCTTACCAGAGGGTAATGAGGTAGCGATGGCTAATGCGCACTTCTTTTTGAGAACGTTGTTATGGTAACCATGGAGAGTAACCACCGCTGGTGCAAACTTCAGTGTTGGCAAGTGAAGCAGACGAAGGTGGGTAAGATTCGCATCAAAAATAGTACTTATCATTGCATTTATTGAAGTTCCCGTTTGCACTACAACACTAAATTCGTTACATGCTTTATTATAATGTCGCGCTGGTGATGGCCCCATCTGCTCGACAAAAGCCAATACAAACACCGTGCAATCTTTTCGGAGATCAGCTGAGGCTGCTATCATTGGGTAGGGGTTCAGGCCCGGGTTGCGACTTGGTCAAAATAAAGAATTAAGGAAGCACACGACGATGCTGTTGTGGACGTTGTTTCAGCTGGGCATAATCGTATCGCGGTTGCCGTTGTGGTTTGACCCAGCACTTATGGATAATATTGCTAATACTATAATTGATATGTATGTTTCTAATGTTGCTATTGTTATTATTTTTATACACCGATATGGGATTAGTTGGAGGTCAGATGTGTTAGAAACAGTAATTTATCTATTAATGGGTTATAGATGAATCTTTGAGTGTAGTGACTCCGCCAACGTTATATGCCTCAGTTTTGCTGACTCATGTCTACATAAGCGTTCAGCTGACATCAGTAATATCGTGTGAACGTCGTACCAGAAATTGAAGAACGACGCGTGCTGCACTCACAATCATTCTTCTCTCCTAATGAAGACGTCTCTGTCATCGTGATCGTTAGATGACGAATCTGGACACTCTTTCGAAAACCAGCGAGCATGGTGATAAGATTTAATTTGGCGCCGTCTTACCTCTATATGATTTTTGATGTCTTTAGTTCTGATTGTTTCCCTTGACTAACTCAACCAAATGTTTCACCCCGAATTCACTTAAATCTCTTCTACTGGCGTCTCTCAACAACGTTAGACTTTAAAATGCCGTCGGTCGTTTGGCAAGCGTTAGACTGAACGTAATTACATTGCGATGTCACTGGCTTGTTACTGACTGACGACGGACAACTAATTATCTTTGCAGAATTCTGACTCATTTGTACAATAAGGTAAAATATTATAATGTGGATTGTCTATGCTGATCCATTTCTAGGTGAGTATGGCATACGCGTAGCTTTTTATAACACCTGACCGTATAATACGGCACAGAACGAAACTGAAGTTTAGTTTTAAAGGCACAGAGACAGTCCTTCGGTGTTATGTCCTATCAGTGCCGTCAGGGTTTGCGAGGGTGCGCATTGTTGATATCTATGTACGTATCTAAATAGATTCGACATGTGCTTCTATTCAAACTTGACATAATGTTGACGCGTATTTTCAGCGACAGAAAATTAATAATAGTCGTGCTGACATTTAAATGTGCGGAGCAATAGTACGATTGGTACACAACGGCATCCGGTGCGATTTCCGCCTGACGTTTACTTAGCTCCTGAAGGCGCGAAAAATCAAATGATCAACAATAAAGGTGTCATCGACTTGGCTTTCGATGAAGACGAGTGGCGAGGCCGGTGATGGCAGCAAGAGGCGTGGCCACCTTATCGTTGAAGTGCAAACGACAAAAATCACGTAGTGCTAATATGAGTTCTCAGCAATACAACGCTATCGTAGCTGTCTATATCTATTTGCTAAGTAAAAATGGTGCGCATACCCATACATCCGTCCACGTCCATACGTGGCCGATCACGTAATGCATCAATGCTCATATTATACGTGTTCAGTATACACGAGATGAACTTTATATAGTCTAGCGACAACATTACAAGATGTGGGATCGTGCAACAGTTTCTATTCGACATTTTGACTCGTTCACTCAGGACTCAATTGACAATATGTCCTTTGCCAGCAAAGCCGATATTTTCATTCAGACATATATGCTACTTTAACCGGCAGTGTGCGTTTCTATTAGCTAAGTACATGGCTATTTCAAGTAAGACTTTAATGGTGCTAACTTGTTGTTTGGCGACGATACAGCGTCTGCTTCGTAATCACTACACTACAAGTAAATGATACGCGTTTTCGTCAATAACTTCTTGCGGAAGGTTATTCAGGCGATGGTTTGCAAGGT